CATCCTCTGAGCCATTTCATTGTCTCCCAAGCTTCCTTCTCCTATTTGTAGAATTCCTAAAGCTCAGGGCAGTAATGTAATAAATGTAGAATGTAGACAAGTATGAAGGTACGATGCAAAATAAGATTTAGGCGAACAGATCAGCCAATATTCATACTTCAGAAATAATTAAAATAATAAATCTAAAGAAATAAGAATGTTATGCTGTGTGTAGACCTAAGAAAGAAGAGAGAAACCAATACGTCTGTGTATAATCAGCAGGACCTTGGTTGCAGGGACTTGGAATCTTTTAGGTGTAACAAATCTAGATGCAGATTGCTGTGGGAATAATCTGAGCATGCCCACGGGCTCTCTGCTACTTTTTATTCTTATTGGTATTTAATCCCTCCTCCTCTCTCCCCCGCTTCTCTTTTTATCGCTCTTTTAGCTTTGGCACCAGCCATATAGAGTGTAATAGCTGGATACACTTTAAGTTTCAATGAATTCTAGGTATGAACAGAATGGTTTTCCTACATTATGAGACTGCGATTTAAACTATAAAGAAGAATTTAACAGACATTTACTGTTTTCATGGACATTTGGGGGAGAAAGCAGTAGCCATTATTATATTAGACATTAAAGCGTTTCTCAGCTGCCTGAGGTTCTCTAGGCTGGATTTGGTCTGTAGGGGGGCAGAGTGGCAGAGGGGCTGCATTTATTCCTGGAAATATCATCACAACCTAATTATAATGATTCCACAACTGGGTCACAGCACCAGCACAAAAAGCAGTGAGGAAGTTTATGGCGTAGTTTGTTTTTATTTCTATCTCTACATACAGCCCCAAATACCTAAAAATACCCGCCGAAAGACACTAATTATTTACACATGAGTGTACTGTAAAATGCAGAGCAGATGTGAGCCATTAAGCCAGCTAAAACACAAACTGAATAGAACTTTCCCACCTCATGACCACCATGTGCTGATTTTGTGCTGTGAGTAGTGAATATGTTGCTTGGTACAGACTGTACATACCCAGAAATGCAGAGTAAACCCAGGGATGCTGTGAATACAGGGCAAGATAAGAAAACTGGGAGGATTCTCATAGATTCATGTTGTAGTGCACATTTTACTGATTTGACTATTTTAACTTTCTGTGAAGCAATAATGATGCCTCTGTGTTTGCTGGTAGGTGTGTAGAATGGTACACATTTATATTCTGTTCTTTTGTGCAATGGTATACAGCTTTTACTGAAGCTAAGTATTCCATTGACAAAATCCATTTAACATGTTTTTGCAGCAGCTCACTGGCATATTTTTAGTAAACAGTTCTAGAATGCTCCATAAAGGTTTTTCTGCAGCTATTCAGTAGAGCAATGATTTTTCCAAATACCAAGCATTTGGAAGGCCAAGTATTAAGCTCTAGGTAGTTTGGGGTTTGTTCAAGTCCCACATTTTAAATATATAGGCTAATGACTTGCAATTTAAATATGGATTTAACTCAATAATTGCAATAAGGATTTAAGTTGTTTTGCATGCTTAGAAACCAATTCCAGAGGACCCGCATTTTAAAAAGAGTACAGCTCTCTGTCAGTTACCAAGTTCTAGATTTAGAGAGAACTTTGGAGTGTCTAGACTGCTCCCCCTTGCCACCAGCTCTACCTACCGTACACAGCAACAGTTCACCAGATCTGTTTCCCAATACTCACTGCAACCTTGGCTTGGGTCTTAGCACTTTGCCTAATCTTAACCACTGTCCTCTCCTGAATGCAAATTCTTTCCTGTCATGAGCCTGTTGAGGCAAGCTGGTACTGGAGCAGGTGCTCCTCTCTGATTGTGCCCATGGATGACCAAAGCTGTCTGGTTGCTTCCAGTTGTTGAGCCATGAGTGTTCCTCAAGGTCCTAGCTCTTCATCTACACTTCCTCCCTTGACCTGACTTTCTTTCTTTGCTCACTTCCTGCCTACTGACAGTCTGATATTTTCTCTAGGACTAACAGTTCAGTCTGTTCCCAGCTACCTCTCAAGGCTCACTTGCTAGTCTACATAGGGCTTTTTCTCCTGTTTGGACTTAGGGCACGATCCACCTCACTTTCCCTGTGTTGAATAATGAGGGATTTTATTTCTTGGCTAGTTGGCCTCGTGTGTATCTGAGTCCAGCTCCTCTCAATGGCTAGAAGTAGAGGCAGCATGGCTGGACCTAGTACCTCAGTGAGCTTGGATTCATCTTCTGGGTTTTCATTATGGTTCTGAGCAAGTTGCTTTCTTCAAGCCTCAGTTCTCTTATCTATAAAGTGGGGGCAGTAGTAGCTCCCAAGCATGAGTTGGCTTTATTTTTTTTAATTTGAGAAGTCATTTTTCTGAAACTCTAGTGAACTCAGTAACACACCTTGTACATTTAACAAGTAGATTTATTGACTCTTCTTTTCATAAAAATGAAACATCATATTTGATGTCTGTACATCATTCCCTGGGCTTCCCCAGGGCTATTCAATGCACGGAGCTCCTCCCTGCAGAGCTTTTAGGATAACACAGACTTCTGAAGCATCTGGCCTATCCTGGAGCACAGGGCTTCTTCCTGATAACCATTCTGCTTTCTCAGCGCATGTATCCAGATGGTGGCAGAGCTCTTGTTTTATGGTCATGTGACATTGCAGTGCCTGGAAGTTCAAAATAACAAACTGGTTCTGTGACGAAAGTGTGAAATTACATGTGAACTTAGAGGAGAGCAGTGTGGTAAAATTGATTCATATTGGGCTTATTTTTGGAACTGAGAATTCTGTGTTTTGGTAATGAAAAAATGCAAAAATGATGCACAAGATATCTACTGCACAATAGTGTGGGAACTTATGAGCTTTAATCCTTTTGTCTATTTTAGGACTTTCTGGGACAAGTGTTTTGTACATTGGGGGAGATTGTTGGTTCACAGGGAAGTCGTCTGGAAAAGCCAATAGTGTAAGTACTTTTTAATTCAGACAGTGACATGTCAACTCTGGTGTTTCTATGTTAGCACTTTGAAACGTGTGAATATATGCTTGTAGAACAAAAATGAGTTTTAAAATTTTTACTGGGATTTTTCTCTTCCAGTAGCTAATTTTGACAGTTTAATAGAATCTATTTCAGCTGTCATATGCTATGCAAAAAAAAATGTTCAAAAGACAAATTGATCAGCTTTGAAAGGAAATGTATTGTATTCTTTTGGTTTATGCTGTTAGATTTAATACTCTATGGAAAATAAACTTACTTCGAGTCAGGACATAGGTGTAGCACTACTTTCAAGTTCTTTGGTCCATAGATGTACTTTTGTTTATTGAAACTGTAATAGCCCATTGCTGCATTACTTTCCCAGGGTGGGGGAGATGCGAACAAATATGGAGGACCCAGTAGAGGATCAGTGACTAACCAAAGGGGTGGTCGCATCTACATGCAGTATGGTGAACCAAGGAGTTTACTGAATGTGTAGAACCATGGGCTAGGGGTTACTTGCAGATTGTCAGTGAGCCCCCAAATAGCTGCACCACTTTGAAGTCCCACCTCACCAGGAGGGGTAGTCTACTGAATGCCCTCCCTGGCTTCTGTGCATCCAGCACCTTCTGAGACCACCTGCAGCCGGAGCAGCAGTGTGTATTGCTTGTGGGGCCTGGTGTCTCAAGTGAAAGTCATTCACAGTGGTTCCCTCCATCCAAGAAGGAGGATCCTGTGTCAGTGGCTTCTCTGATTAGAGATGGCAGCAGCCCTGTCATTCCCAGAGAGCAGAAGGCAGTACTCCAGAATTGTTTTCGCTGGGAGAGTTGGTGAAGGAAGCAGTGTGCGGTTCTAATGACTTTGATTGATTTATTTATAAAGATCAGGAGATCTGGGAAGACCTAATCACCAACTGAGAACTAACCACAATGTCCAAACTTTAGGAAAATTTTAAGCCCTGTCTTTATCACATCACAAAATAAATATGTCAAAGCAATCTATTCCTCTTTAATCTCAAGTAAATGAAATTACCATGTTGTCTCTCTCATAGTCTATATAAAACTTAATGTCATGTGTGTATCAGTGTTATACAAAACATCTGAGCTAATAAACTAGTAAGTCTATTCATTTTAGCTTCTTTTATTTACATTATTTTCTTATAAAATTATTACCAAATATCAGTTTGAGTTCTTCAATGTGTATATTTCCTTTTAAATATTCTTATTATAAATAATTTATTTCCATCTAGTTATAAGACTTAAATGCTTATTAGTAAAATGTATTTATGCTCACTTTAGTAAATAATAAAGCCAGGTGTGGAAGCTAAGGGAAGAGGATTGCCAAAAGATTAAGACTAGCCTGGGATACATAATGAGAGTGTTCCAGACTAGCCTGGGATACATAGTGAGAGTATCCTAGACTAGCCTGGGATGCATAGTGAGAGTGTCCCAGACTAGTCTGGGATGCATAGTGAGAGTGTTCCAGACTAGTCTGGGATGCATAGTGAGAGTGTTCCAGACTAGTCTGGGATGCATAGTGAGAGTGTTTCAGACTAGTCTGGGATGCATAGTGAGAGTGTTTCAGACTAGTTTGGGATGCATAGTGAGAGTGGTCCAGACTAGTCTGGGATGCATAGTGAGAGTGTTCCAGACTAGTCTGGAATGCATAGTGAGAGTGTCCCAAACTAGCCTGGGTTGTGAGATTCTGTTTCAAAAATGAAAATAAAACAAACCAAACAAACAAAATAAAACCACCAAAAATATCTTTGAAAAATAAATGGTAATGTTCAAAGTAAATACCATTAAATACCTTTAACTCTCAAGGCCTTTTCTAGTCAAGTGACTAGCATTCATAAGGGTTCCTGGAACAGCATGAATCTAACTTTAGGGTTTTTTTTGTTGTTGTTTTGTTTTTTAAGGAAAAAAATTCCACATTCTGTCCCCTGCCATCTTAATTGTGTCTTTAATATTTTTCAAGAGAAAGCATGTACAAGTAAAGCCTCAAGTTTTCATTTCAGATCAGAGAAATGGGAGAGACTGCCAGATTACAAACTGGCAATCATATTTTTAAATTGATGGTTTTTTTGGAAAATTGTAGCTGCTCTAATTTCCTCATAAAAGGCATTCATAATTCTAATTTTAGAAAACTTTTTAATTGCAAAAAGTTTCCTCTAGTAAAAGAATTCTGCTTTTATTAATTTTTAGGCATCTTTTTAAAGTGGAGATTATTATATTCGTTGGGGTGGGAGTGATAACTGTAGCATTGCATAAGACTGTGCCCTTGACTCGGCTGATTCAGAATTTCCATTGGAAGAGGCAAAAAAAAAAAAAAAATGTCAGCTCATGCTAAGAGGTAACAGTGTCTAGGGTGATGATTTGAAGACTATACCCACATAAGGAGAATTTAGTAGTTACTGAGTTGGACTGGTTTTGCACAACTGTCCTTTGGGTTTATCCAGTGGTGCTGAGACTAGGCAGCTAATGAGACAGAGCCTTGAAAACCATTGACATGGTAAGTGTGGATTCCAAGTATTGTGTTTTATCTATAGGGGATTTTGAAAATCTAGATGACTTTGTTGTTTTGATATTTATGTATGTCATAGAAAACAATACACTTCACTCAGATGTCTAAATATGCGTGTGTCCTTACCGAACAGTTTTCTCAGGCAAATAAACACTAAGAAAATGTTACCCCATAGGCTTCTTCTTCTTTGAAAGTGATATTTTTGAGAGCACCTTAGGAAAGTGTGCTAGGCAACAAAGCCCAGCAGAAGTGGGTAATGAAGTGCAGAATTCGAACATCACAGAGACTAGTCACAAAAGAAAGAAGACAACTACAGAGATTGCAGGAAGGTGGTGTCTGAGGTGAAGATGTTAAGTGCTTGAAACAAATGTAACAGAAGAAAGGCAAGGGATGTCATGGTTAAGAGAGTAAAGCCAAATGTGATTAGCTTGCTAGTGGAAAGATACTTTGGTTTTGTTAGAGAAGTACCAAGTACCACACCCACATTCTGTGAGCTCAGTAATTGCTTCAACTCCAGTGAACAGGGGATTGAAACAATCACAAGTAGTCACCAGTCCTCCTGCTCAAAGGCAGGCTGTCTTTCATGAAAAACTCCATCTGTGAGAGAAGCATGTGCCTGGAGGACACAAATGGAAAAATAAGGACCACAGGCTAAGAGTGAAGTTCAGGTGATTATGCAATTTCTAGGCAGACAGCAATTTACTCCATTACCTCAGCCTCAAATGAAAATGTTTTTTGTTTGAAAAAGTGCGGTTGTGTTGAGAAAGCCAGGGAAACACTTTCCCGAAACGCTCTCTTGGGGTGCCTGCCTTGTCAAGGCAGTTCTCCAAAGGAGCTGACCCTTCCTTAGATTCTCCCAGCTTCAGACCCAGCCCTGCTGATCCACTGACACCATTTCCACATATTTTATCATTTCCCAGGAGTCCATCTAACAGGAAAGCGGTGGGGAGAAGAAAAAGGGTGGGGGATGTAGACATGCTCCTTTCAGTAGAAGAGAGAATGGCTGTGGACGAAAGGATGAAGGCAAGAAAATCTTAGTAATACAAAATCAGAAAGATGCTTCCCTGATCGGAAGTTCAGTGACACACACAGACTCCGGAGACGTGAAGTGTGTCTCTATTCTCCACGGTCCCCTCTCTCTTGGCCCACTTTCCCACAAGCTGACCAGGCAGCCGTTCAGAAACATAAAATCGTTCAGGCTGTTTCCCAAGGCTAGGGATGGAGATGGGAGCTGCACATTCTCCTGCTTGCAGGCAGTACCCTTGCAATGATGTTAAGGACTCTGGCAATCTTCCCCAGCCTGCTGAGCACGCACTTCTGAAATGCAGCATGAGGTACCTCCTGAGGTAGGAAACACACCCACAGTAAACAAAATTGATTCATCTTGAATTTTAAAATCCTTCCTGTGTCCCATATGTTATTTATCTTAAATGGCATTCCCGACTGATTTAACATTTCTTTACTAATTCATTTAGCTCAGAGACTTATTTTCTAATTAGTTTCCCTTTTACATTCCAAGTTATTCACAGTAACCCCTTGTTCCCCTTCCTTTTAAATGGCCTAGTTCATATTCTGATAAGATGTTCAGAGGCCTCTTTCTCGGCTTCCTAATTGCAGCTGAGTTATCATATCTCATCTGACATATGCTTTTAAATGAGTAATAGTTTTAAAATTTGGGGATTTAGAGAAAACAAAGAAAAAAATTTAGCATCCTAAATTATTCATTAATCAAACCTTTGACAACTATACCAGGTCTGTCACAAAGGCAAAAAAATAAATAAATAAATAAATAAAAGGCTTCTTGTCTGTAGCCACATCTATTAATTAAACATAATTTGAATTTAAACTTAACCAGTGTATGTCTGGATTTCAAGGATGGCTGTCATTTAAAGACTTAGGTTTTTATTTTCTTATAAAAACGATTATTTAAAAAATGGTCTACAGGAACTAAAGTGAAGTGATTTGAAATGGCATCCAAAACTTGTTTTTTCGTTTTATTAGCATTTCAACATTTTTTGCAGTTTCCTGCAAGTCCATTTTGTTGGATACGATCTATTTACCGAATCTTCATCACCGTGCATTTTTTGGTGTTATGCTGCTTGCTTTGTTGGTAGCTTCAGCTGGATCCCTGCGACTCCTGGCCCCTCTCTTTAGAAGTCCCATCATTCTTTAACATGGCTCCCACCCAGCCCTGTTTTCTCATACTGTGAGATGCAATCCAGTTTTCTTTGTCATGCGTTCAGAGCCTTCCTTCATCTGTCTTCAAAGAGTTTAGTGATGGATTCAGCAGAGTCTCAAAGATATAAGATTCAGCTCCAGTTTCAGAATGACTGCTGTGATCTTCCGTAGGGGAAATTGGGATTATGTTCCTCAAGCAATAGGCTTTCTGGTTTTGCCCCTTTCAGCCAGACACGAGTACATCTGTACAAGAACACGGGGCCAGAATGCAGGGGTCAGTGACTAGAAAA